ACTTGTGATCGGCAGTCAAATCCTAATCTTTAATAAATGAATAAATGGCCTCCATATTCTCAAATATATGCTGTCCAGCCTTTATTTTGTAGGAAATCCTCTCTTATGGAAGGCTTGATAACCTTGATGTAACCAATGTTTGGACTGTGAAGCTTTTTTGCAAACAATTCAGTACATGTTTGGTCAGCATTCAAGTTGAGGTCTATAAATGTTTGCTATATACTGTATTTTTTTTTTTACGGGTATAAACCCAACAGAAAAAGCTTAGGGTCCAGTAGAATCTCTTTTGAAGTAATAGCTGACTTCTTTTTAATATGCACCCTGTCAAGTACAACAGCTGGTTTATTGGCTTAATTTATTTGTATTTTCTCTACTAAATATGAGTTTAAAACGTCTGCTCGGTCGTTGACCTTTGGTTCAGTGACTTTTCCTCCTCGCTAAAGGACAGATAGATTCACGTGGGCTCAGTCGAGGGTCTGTAAATAATGTATGTACATTTAATGGTATTTTTTTCATGTTGCCCTTAGAGCTCGATCTGACTGGGAAATCTAGGTCAATGTCAGCGGCAGGAAGCAAAGTGTGTCCCATAATATTGCATTGAAATCCAGGTCCCCATTGCATTAAATCTCTCCCTCTGGGTTTTATTTCCCCTGTTGAGCAACTTGGCTCTTCTTAATACAGCACTTTAATCTGTGGGAATTATAAATCCAACTCTAATTTCCAATCCAATTCGGTGACTTGTACTGTATGTATTTTGGATCAAAACATCAAGTCAGTAGCGTCCTTCTCTTGACATTCATGTTTTGCTTTTAGATGACGCCAGCATGCGTGACATTGAGGAGAGGGGGGTTGTTTAGTGCAAGCAGCAGATCATTTGTTGACTATATATTTTGGCCGCAGATGGTGACTAAGTTACCCAGGAAGATGTAACTAGAGTAACTATTAAGGGAATCCTAATGAAAGACGTCTAGATCCAGACATTTAGAAATATGTTTATTTTTAAGATTCATATTGTCCGAACATCAGGTTTTGGAAAGCAGACTCAAAACAAGTGACATGCATCCAGACGATGGTATTGGACCATACGTTTTTCTACATCACTGATTAATGCGATTTTTCTATTTGAGATTAATAGCATAACTTTGTTTGCAAACGCTTTCCCTCCTAAACATGCATCAAAAAGGTTTAATCAATCTCTTTGATGCATAATACACCAGAGAGATTGATAAAGCGGGACACTTCTAATCCATTTTCTGAGAGTCATTCGTCAAAGGTTCAGACCGGGGTCAAATTGATTTAGAAAATGACTATTTGGGAGAAAATAATAACTGGGAGTTATTTTTTAGCATACGTACATTGAAGCAAATCTGTTCTTTTACTGACATAGACTGGTAATATTCCTCATCTCCCAGCGGTGAGGATAATCCTCTGAGTTTAATCAAGGCTGTCAGGTTTCCCCCCCCCTCTTTGGATCCAGTACACCAGTTAACAGCAGGCACCAACTCTTATTAATGGGATTGTGTCAGCGGCTGCCTAGAAGCCAGTTTTAAATCTGGGGTAGTGGGTTATCAGCAGAGGAGCCGAGGGCACGCAGGCCGCAGACACATGCAATATGTTTTTTGGACAGTGTGGTACAGACACTCAGAGTTCACACTGTTCTCCTCCCCCCCGGGTCATTAGAGTCTACAGCATCTGTTTTCACTGAGGAGGAGGCTTTGTCCTTTTTAACTCCTGTTTGTTCATACCAGACCTGACTCAGCATTTCCACTGTAGCATGCATGTACTTACGGTCAGGCAGTACGTTTGCTGTAGCTGGGTAGTTAACTTTGTAGTAATTGGTTTGATTATTATTGATTGTGGCGGACATTCATTATCATGCAATGGATGGCCAATACTCAATGAGGGGCATGAAACGTTTAAAAATTTAGTTTTAAGATTTTTTGTTTTACAGATCGGATCAATTCTATACATGTTGATCGTGGTGATTTTCCACTATCAGAATACAATAACAAAAAATAACTTCAATATACTTCAAAAGCTGTTAGAGAAGAAAACGATGGAGCCTGATTTTGAATAAAACATGGATTTCCATTAAAAAAAAGCAACATACTTCACAATGTTGCCTTTTTCTAAACATATTTTTTCATGCTGGGATTATGATTGATGATTGAGGGATTACGATTTAAGGAGATTTCGGATGCAAAAGAAAATATTTGCAGACGGAAGTCAGATTATCTTTTGTATTATCTTTTTGGGAAATTTTTGATGGCTATCTGAATAATATTGTTTTCTTATCGTTATTTTTGACCAGGTTAATACTGACATTTCCAAATAATTCTAGGCCCACTCTAGTAATCTCTTGAACTAATGTAAAAACCTAGGATGCTAGAGCACTACAATGAAGCCCTATATTTAACATGATAACAGAGCATGTGATGGCTGTTTCATCCCCCCAGAGAATCTGCAACTATGTGAAAAGGAAACAAGTCGATTCTAAACTGTGCTGCAGACAACTAAAGCAGCTGGTAGACATAAGCCGTCGTGGGGAATGCTTTGGCACGACGCCATCAGACCGGCATATTGCACTAGTCGGCGGGCACTTAGTACCAGACCTCACTGAAACTATGGGCTGACAAGTAAGCAAATATTTTCCCCCTTGCTTTGTACTTGCATCAGAGTTTTCCGTTGGAATTTCTTTTTGCCGGTCAACATGTTCGTTAAAGTTTAAACCTTCCGGACAAAATGAGAAAAGTGCCGGTCAAAGGTCTTCTTTGTTATTTATTGAGCTTTAAAACAAATTGATATGATTTGATATTAAACAAACAAATTATAGTTGATTAACTACATTATTCACCGCTGCAGGTGATCATGCAGAGCTGTGTGTTGACTCGTCAGCAGCAGCTGATCTCTCTCTCCCGTCAGATTAGACTTCACTCGCGTTTATGTCCATATTGATCAGATCTAGCAAGTTCTTCTAGCTAATGGTAGGACTACCTGCTTACCAAGACACCTAAACAATATGCGTCGCTACCGGGTGAGGCCGCAAAGTATAGCGCTGCATTATGCATTTGTTTACATGCCCCCCAGATCAACGCACAATCAACCCATACAGGACATCTCTTTCTCCACATTAAGTGTTAGACATTAGAATGGACTCTTCTTGTCGGTCACATACTCTTTTTTTCTGTCACATAAGTGGCGCAACTGATGCGGTATTGTGCTAAGGGGAAATTATTTTGACCGGAGAGATTTAGATGTGCTGGTCTTCAGCAAGTCCGGTAGTTTAAACGTCTTAATTGCAAAAAGGACATCAATCATTCTTCAACATTCTTCCCCCTCTGTGATGGCCCACCTTTTCAAAGATTTGTTTTCATGTGGAGTGTGAGAGTGGAACTCGAGTCTTGCCTCCCACTAAGAGCTGGGCAACTTCTTTATAGTCCAATAACATTGTGCCCTGCAGGGGAACAGAAACCGGGGGGAAGTGAAGTGGAGTGGAAGTCTGCTAAGGGAATCCTCTTCTTTTTTTTCTCTCCCAGGAATGTCAAGCTGCTCTGATGTTGCTGCTAAAAGTCAATTTTGACAACTGATAGAGGGCTATGTCTTGGTTAAGTAAGGGTTTTTTGCTGAAACGTTGGAGCTTCAAATCGTGTTTTGGCTGCCGGCCAATTGTTTCAGATCACATACTGTATTATCCTCTGATCCAGTTGTTTAATCCCCCAGACACAAACTTCACACGCCACATCTGTGGCTGCATTATCAGATATCGTGAGATGTCTGTGATGTAAATCTGTGCGGAATGTTTTATTTTCCCCTGCAGAGTGTTGTGTTTGGAGGTTTCTAGAAGTTCCATTTGCATCACTGCTTTATTTACTTTAAAGCATATCTTAAACATCATATTGCCTTTGAGACGTGTAGATTTGCCTTTATTATATTCTGTAGCAGTCAGTGTCTGTTTCTAGGTTTGCAAATAAAAGGAATGGTTGCTTGGAGAGCAGTGAACAATAGATGGCCTCATCTATTAGCCTGTTGTGGCGACAGCAGACGTTGGGGTTTTCAGCGTGGCAAAGCCCTGTATTAAGGCCCTGAATGTATCCTAGGCCCCTCTTTTATCTCCTGCCCTATACCGTTGGGATTACTGTCCCAAAGGGAGACGGGAGGCAACGCTGGAATGAAAACTGCCATCCCCAGCAGTGTCTTTGTCACGGCGACCCCAGCCCAGATCCAGCAATATTACATTTTCGGGGTTGCAGAAAAGCAATAAAAGGATCTATTTGTCTTGGGGAGCTATTTCTTTGAGTTTTTAAGAAACCCCAAAAACAGGAGCAGATTCCAGTGGAGCAGACACCATGTGGTCAAGAGCAAAGTTCTTTAGTTATGTAATAACTTATGGGACGTTCTCACATGCCACAGGGCTGAATGGCCAATCAAAAGGCCCCGATTCCTCCGCTGGAGTCAAACCACTGCTGAACAACATGTCCCCCCCGGAATTTATTTGCATTGGCTAACTTTAGGACTGTTTATTTTGTGATCAGAGAATGCCTCCTAAGAGATCTTGCCAGAGAACTCAGAAATAATGGACAACAAACGTAAAGTAATGGCCTAATGGGTGTAAAGAGGTGATGCGTGTCTTGAACCAGTGTGTTAGTACCAAAACCTACTCAAGTGTGGATTTTTTTTTGGGGTCTGACAAATGAGTTTTATGCGATTATTCTTTAAGCTGATTTTAAAATGATATTTGATAATTGTAACAACCATGTTTGTTTCTTTGTTGGCGGTTTTCTTCTGCACTTGCTTCTCTGGTCCATTCATGCACTTTTTAGCATGATGGTGCAAAATCTTGCCACAGAAGTGCTTGTGATGGTGCATTTGATTTATTTTTCTGTGCCATGCAAACAAATCTGGGGCCCACTCATACCAAAATTGCCCTAATGCACTACTGGTGGTAAGAAAACTAAAAATCAAAAAGTTTAATGTATCTCTTTCTTTGTGTTTCTGTGCAGGGGGCCACACCTACAGCCAAAATGGAGGTGAAGACGTCACTTCTAGACAACATGATCGGGGTTGGAGACATGGTCCTCCTAGAACCCCTGTCTGAAGACTCGTTCATCGCGAACCTGAGGAACCGCTTTGACCACAATGAGATCTACGTAAGTCTACCATCGATTTGATCCAATTTGCCTGAACTCAGTGTAACAATCTTGTGTTGTGTTAGACTCTTCTGCACTTCTCGGCTGTCATTACAAATGGCTTCCCTAAGGACTCACTCGGATACTTTTCATAACTCTATTGTGATCCATCCCCCCACTAATTGAAGTATTGGCTACAGAAGTGTTGCAGATACAAAGACCGCAGTAACCAGCCAATCAATAAACTACACCACAGAGGAATGTAGATGATTCCTTTTATTTAAATTTTATGAGGCATATAATGCAGAGGTCATGGAAAAGAATGGACTGGCAGGCTATAGCTGGCTATCTCTAGAAGAATAAACGGGGTTGGTGAACCATCCTCCCTGCATCAGTTCTGGGCTTTGTTCTGTGGATTCTTCTTCTCCGCAGGTTGGCTGAGCTCTACGTCAGCCAACATGATTATAGCTCTGCTCTGGTTGCTGTTGGCTCACACGGCTCAGGGCTAAAGGGATGATGTCACCTCATACAGCGCTAATTTCCTTAGCGGCGCGCTGGGTATTTTGCCGAGATGGAGCCCACATCCTGCTGAGGAAAGGAAATAATGTTTTCACATTTCAGATGCTCTTTATTTTCTGTCAAAAAAGTTTGGAGCTTTTATTTCCTGTATGGTGCTGACTTTAACGTTGTGGAACTAGATAAATAATCATTATTTTTATTATTTAGGTAATAAAAGCTACTCCAAGAGGTGCAAAACCTTACTTCTGATTGCACCTTTTTTAGTTTAGTACTGTCTATGAAGTAAAAGTAGAAATGGCATCTTAATGGAAAGGTAAATCAAATGGTTAAAGTCTATAATGGAAGCTTTTTGGTGGCGTAAGCCGCACCTCGAAAGCGATGACCAGGAGAAGTACTCAAGCCTATACTTATCCAATAAAAATGTGGTGTACAGCCCTCGCATGTGAATGTATTTTTCCCTCATGTGGCATCATTCCTTACGGCCCTCAACCCCCACCCCCAAAACTATCATATGACAGCTCGCAGCAGAAGAAGCATGGCTTTGTTTTCCAGCGGGACAGCACGTCATGTATCCAATAACGCTGTGGAATATCAAAGGGAATGAAACTTGCTCTGTTAACCGATGCCCCACTTCTTATGTCTGACTCTTCATCTTCTGTGAGCAAGAGGAATCAATCAGTGTTTCTTGCATGTTTTATTAAATTCCCAAAGCCCTCTATTTAATTATCTGCATTGTTGGTCGCATTGCACTAATGCCATTCCTCATTCACACCAGATATGTAGCTGATCAGACCCAATCTTTATCCGACTAATGTTTTACTTCAGAACCTGCTATTTGTGAATTAACAGAAGCCATTTATATGCTGCCTTGTGCACTGTTTCCTCCACTGTCATGCTTTAGTGATGGATTTGAAATGTTGCGATTAAAAAAAAAAACCGGAGTGATAAAGAAATACAAATATTTATTTATCAAGCTGTTTGGCAAGTAATATATCATCCAAGCAGCTTTAATGTTAGTGTCTGGAAAGATGGCAAGCAGAACAGCAAGTGTAGAAATGGAAAATAAAGAAAAGACAGAGGAACAGTTTTCAACTACCATGGTTAATGCGGAAAGCACCTGCATATATGAACGATCTCTGCTGATAGACACAGTACCATTTATTAAAAACCCTGTCAGAAGTTTGACGAAACACCTTTTCTTTTTCGTTATCTTTTTAATAAACCCTCTTTCTATTGTGATTTCCTGATTTAAATAATGACTTCTGATGAAAATGTTCCCTAGTCCCTAATGATCTGCAGAACTAAAGAATATATTCTTTGTGGTTTTGGTCAAGAGACCACATATTAATACATAATACTTTGTTTACACTGCAGATTCTTCCCCTTTACACCCATCCCCTGCCCCTCATTTTGCCTCTGGTGGGCTATTGAACGAGAGGCTGTGGGAGGTTGCGTGGTTGCCACGGGGAAGGCCATGCTCTACTCTTGTCAGAGTGGGTTATGCAACAGCCATTACCATGGAAAGCACAGAAAATGTTTCAGGTTGATGTTTTGAAAGTGCTCTGTTTTGAGCGTAGGAAGACAATGAACAATAATGGCTGGTTACCTTTGCTTGACAAGTGTTATGTGTCGAAAAGGACCTGTGCGAATGTTACATAAAGGATTTTATTTGTGAAACAGAGAAACGAAACTAGAAAAACAAGCGCTTTTTATGTTTGCCAATGTTTGATTAAAAACCCACTGTTGACATGTTAGGTATCTTGCATTTCACTGAATATGTATTAAGATATAAGTGAGTTGTATAGATTTCCTTGATATGTTATGTATTTGGCAATTTTGCCTAGGCATGTCAGGCATTAGTTTTGTACCATTAATACCTGCACACATACACTCACTAAATCCCCCCCACAGCACATTGACCTCTTTGCAGTCCGTGTTTACTTCCCAGCCCACAGATTCCATAAACTTGTCCATGTTTTTATGTCTTCGGTTTCACTTCAGGCATTGCATGCCTCGACACTGCATTTATAATACCCAGCTGTGAAAATCTGAAAGAGGCAGAATTCCTCCCACCTCAATTTAAGAATGAACAACCCAAATGGACGTAGGGGAGGACAGGTGGTTAGGACAAGTCTGTAAAACACAGAAAATGTGGATTAACACCGACTGCTTCATTTGTTTCATCTTTCTCCAGACATACATTGGCAGTGTGGTGATCTCCATGAACCCCTACAGGTCCCTGCCCATCTTCACACCAGAAAAAGTGGAGGAGTATCGCAACAGGAACTTCTACGAACTCAGTCCACACATGTGAGTCATCCAACCCCTATTATCTATGTAATTAAAACTGCTTAAGGCTCAAGCACTTAGTTTGACAGCAAGGTTTTCAATTAAGTTTCCTTCATGGGACATTTATTGTGTTGGTGCAACGAAGAACTGGTGAGGATGGCACTTCACAAGAGCTTTTTCAAGGCTTTGTTAGTGTGAAGGTTTTTTTTAGGAACTGGCATCTGGATGTTTAAAGGTCACCAAAATCCACTTTTTCATGTCTTTTATACATAAACATGTGTCCCCTATTTTCACTCTCTTTTTGTCCTGATCCATATATATAAAACCTGTCTGAAAATGACCTGATCAGATTTTGTCCACTTTATGATGTCATAACGATTTTTTGGCTTGTTTAACCATTAGCCAATCACCAACCAAGGTAACCCCC